TGTCACCCCAGCTCGCTCAGAGCGGGGCTGGGACTGTCGGGGGTGGGATGTGTCCCAACAGCAGCCGCGGAGTCCCCGGGGCCGTGGGCGAGCTCTGGCCACATTCCTGGGGCAGGGATGTGACATCACGGGTGACAAATACCCGCAAACACCGGGAGTGGCCGCGGTGGCACTCAGCCCGCCCCAGGGACCACCCGGAACGGACCCAGGACAGCAGGGACAGCGCTCCTAAACTCATCAGAAGCTCCTGGATTGGCAGATTTTCCTGCATTTCTTTCTGTTTCCTGAGCCGAGCCAGCGGGGAGAAGTTATTCTGTTATTTTGCAGACTAAAGCAAAGGTTTCAAAATCCCAGGCTACTGTTTTTTAAGCCCAAAACCCCACTTCATATCCCAGGGTGTTCCATGTTAAAAGGGCAGGAATTCCACTTGAGCAAGGGCAGTTTGAGAAAATAAGAATTCCTACATGTACAGGAATGAAATTCAGAACCATTTAAAGTGCTGCTGTCAGGAAAAGCAGAGCCCAAGAACCTCTGGAAATCCAGGAGCAGCTTGCAGACTTTTTCTTGGAAGTGTGTGAAGATCTCTCCTCTGTCTATCAGTTTTTGAAAGTGCCTTTCCCAGCCCTGAGCACTCTTTTTTTTTTTTTTTTTTTTTTTTTTTTGTGGTGTAAAGTGCTCAGCATAAAATGTCAGATCTGCAATGAATTTTTGAACGTTTTTGTGGTCAGATTTTAATATTTTCATGTTTGGGGCTCTCAGGTAAGAGGGTCTTAATATGATACGCAAAGAGTATGATTTCATAGTTCACAAATTCCATAAAATAGCCCTTTTTATGCCTAAATAGCATTTAAACAGTCTAGAGAATTTGGAATTTCGCCCACAGTGGAATAACTGACCAAAAAACGGTGCTGGTCGCCCTTTTGCAGGGAACCACAATCCTCCGTGCCGGGTCCTTCCCGTTCAGTTCAGCCCACTCCTTTTGTGCCAGTGACTCAGAGGACAAGAATGCCAGCTGGGAGCAGATCCGAGGCTCCAAAGCTCACTGCAGCCAGCCTTTTAGGCCGAGCTTTCCCATCTGGTCCCGGCTCATCCCCGCAGCCAGCGTGGCCACCCGATGTCCCTCCCGATGGAGTGAATTGCCCTGTGACTACTGAAGATTTGCTGCTGCTCTTTGCTCCCCACGTTGGCTGTGGGGGTTTGAGGTCTCTGKCTCTTCAGGATGGGGCTCTGGCACATCCTGGATCCTCTGGTTCTTTCAGTTCCATTGATAAGTGAAAAAAAGGAGGGGAAAATGCTGATAGCCACCCTCTGCAGGGCCKGGAGGGACCCAGGGCTCTGGGCATCGGTGCCTGGAAAGCCCCAGGGTAAATCTCAGATGATCAAGGACAAAACCCTTTTCCTTAGAAGCCTCCTGTGCTCAACTCTGAGTTCCACCAGGAGGAGCAGAGGCAGAAACTGGGAGCTCACCAGCCTTGGGGTGGTTCTGCCGGAGGGAGAGGGGTGAGACCAAAACCCTCCTGTTCCTCTGCTCCAGTGGTTTGCAGAATTCAGCTCCCCAGGACCTGAGCACCTGAGCCACGTTCATTCCAAACACACCCTGGCCCCGAACGTGGGTGACACCTCTGGAGAAGGTGACAGCACACGGGTGAATCCTCTCTGGCTCTCTGCTTCACACCAGCCCTGTTGATCTCTGCTCCAGCCCAGACAAGGTTTGAGTTTTCCCTTCTCCTGCCCTCAGGTCCTGTTTTTATTCCCCRGAAGCCTCCCAGGCTCCAGCTGGCACTGAGCTAAAAATAAAAACTTCCATGGCAGCTGCGTCGCTCCCAGTTCCCTGGAGGGGAGGATGAAGCTGGACCTTCCTCCTCCTCCTCCCCAGAGGATTTCCCTGGCCTCTCCATCCTGCCTGCTAGAGCTGACAAGATCCTGAATCCCCCAGTGAAAAGGGAGGCAGAGACTCACTCATCCCACAGGATTTGATCCCCTGTGCTGGGAGACCCATGAGTAAAAACAATCCAAGAGGAGGAACAACAACAGAGGCATCAAATCCACGAGAAACGAATGTCTCAAGAGAAAAGATGGAGGGAAAGGGGGCCTCAAGACATTTTATTTTTAGCTTTTAAAAGCAGGAAGAAGGAAAAAAAAAAAAAAAGATTGAAAATTGCAGTTGAGCTGCCAGAAAATCCAAATGTTAATGGAAAGTTGGATCTGCTCTGGCTGCGCTCAGCACAGACAGACGAAGTCGACGCAATGGATTCAGAGAGGGCTCAGGCACAGCCCTGCAGAGCAGCATCTGCTACTGTTCCCCCTCAACTCTGCCCCAAAATCCCAGCCAGGAAACCTGGCAGGTCTGGGCTCTCCCTCTGGAAAAGTCAAGACAGGACAGAGTGATCAGAACTCGTCGGAACAGCTTCAGGCACGAGCCCACCAGGCTGCTGGAAAGATTCCAACCCTCTCTGAGGCGCCAGAGCCCACTCCATGCATTTTTAGGAAACACCCTTTGGTTTCCCCCTCCACTATTAAAGCCCACAAGTGTTCCTGAAGCTTGGGCAGCGCYGGGTTTCATATGCTGGAAGAGGATAAATGAGTGGGATGGAGGTGGTGGAGGCGTGGGTGTTCCCCTCCTTCCCTGCCTCCAAATCACAACTGCCCCACCCCAGAGAAGGTGCCAACTCACAGAACTCGCTGGCTCCTGCCCCATCCATAAATCTTTGTGCACATCTGCAAATTCCCCAGGACTGCAGGTCTCAGTCCCACCTGGCTGCCAGGGGCCACATCTGCCTGCTCCCGGCCACACAGGCTGAGAATGTTACCCCAGAAAATGTTACCCCAGAAAAGGCTTTGGCATGTTTACAGCTTGGGAA